GCTCGCATGCAGACTTTACCTTTACCTTCAACCCAGGGTAGCCCTTTGTGTGGGAAAATGTTAACCCGCCGAATTCTCGTCAAATGCCCAGAACAGTTTATCTTGCTTGGAATTGAGGGAGTCATAATTAGCTCTTATTAACCGGGCAGGAGGTCTGTATGGGAGAATCTTGACCGAGCTCGTGAGTACAGACCGAGCGCAGTGAGGTTTGTGCACACGACCGAGGTCAAGATTCTCTCATACAGACCGACTAAGCTCGGTTAACAAGATATTTATTATATGACAAACGAGAACAATTTAATTCGTTTAATGTAACTGTGGCTTATACTAGCTTACTGATTTTGCTTGCGAACGGCGATGAGCTGAACTTAAATCTGCCATGTTTGCTCGTTCTCTTTACTTTTTTCTCCTCATCAGGCTTTTGGCACTTCCACTAATATTTTTGGAAGAAAATTCTCAATATTCTTGTATTTTAGTTTGCACCTTTTTCACCGCAAAATGTAACGGGTCTAGATGGGAAAATCAAAATCGATTTAGCCAATCAGATTCGTGAATTAAGTAGTTCCTAGTCCTTGTGAGACAACCATATAATATATAATAAAAGATGATCTTTTATTAAGGTAAATTAAGGACGTATAATATGTTTGGAAGACGCTTGCTGTTTTGACCTTGACGCCACACGTATGACTGTGGTAAGCCTTCTAGAATTTTATAGGGTACAGGTAGTGACATCGCCTTACGTGACACCTAGTCACGAAAGGTACGTACATGCAGTGGCATAGCGTTGAGCGAAAAATACGCAAATCCTGCAAACAAATATCCCTACATCCCCGGAAAAAAAGAGCACTACTCTTAAAGGCGCTACTTAACTGTATTTTACTGTTGTTTTATTTTCTCTATGTTCTGTTTAACCGTCTCGTTTGATACTAACTACTCTTAAAAATCGCATTTCCATGTGTCCAATTTGTCTGCCTTATTTTCGTATCGCTGGGTAATTAACGATTAATTACTTGCTCGTTTGATTAACGATGATTATGCGATTAATCATAACAATTACAATTTCCTCAAAAGTGATTGGTGCATAAACTGCTGTATTTTGCTCTAATTAATCTGCAAAGCTGTAATCGGACAGTGTAATCGGACAGTTGGCTGTAATCGGACACCTGTAATCGGACAGTTACATGAGCCAATCATTTTAAGTCCTCTCCACTAAATCCACCAATCACAACATTGATTACAATTACTATGGTGACCAATTCAAGAGACTGACTTTGTAAAATTGTGGAGGTTTCGTCTCTGGTGACTGTTTTGAAAGAAACTTAACAGCCATTTTGCAAGCTGTTCTCCATATTTTTAATTATGATATTTAAAAATGACTATTAAACGCTCTTCTTCAAATGAATTTTTGCTTTTGTGGGAAATTGTAATTGTTATGATTAATTGGTAACAGGACATCGTGTCGTCCAATTCAGTCTGCAATCACACTCGTGATTAACAAATCGGACTCCCGCTTCGCGGTCGTCCGATTTTGTTAATCACTCGTGTGATTACAGACCAAATTGAACTCCACTCAGTCCTATTACCATTATTAATAGTGTCGGACGAATTATTTCCTCTCTTGTTTTCTGGAAGACCACATGGTAAGAAAAACAACAAACCTGGGGCTATTGAAGCCAAATCATGACGGTACAATTTCTTTCAATGATCACAGGAGGATCATAGGGCAGATGTTCTAAGCTGTCACGGGCTGAAAACTTGGCTTGCTGTGTAATCCCTTCTTCTCGATTACAGTGGTTTGAGCACGTATAGAATAATATTTTTGCCAGAGGAGGGGTGGGTGGGGGTACCAAAGGGTACGGTTTTCATCTATTTTGATTTGAAACAGGGTATCAGTAGATTTTGTTCAATTTGGTCTGAAATAGTTAACACTTTGCACTCTGGCCTGAGTGCGTGTTTTAAAAGATAATTATCATTAGAAATGTTTACGTAAATTGATACCATTCCTGGTCAGATAAGGTCAAGTACAAGAGGCTAATTTTAGAGTTCTTAAATAGGGTATCGATTTTTGGATCAGGCTTAAAACAGGGTATCGAAAAATTAAATCACGTATTTTGAACCGAAATGAATTATTAGCTTTAGTGTTTCAAATCAAGCTGACTCATCGCACAGCCCTACAAAGAAATTTCGGGGAGTACTCCGCGGATTTCTATTCTAGTTTGTTTGTTTGTCAAATTATTCCTTAGATTCATTCACTAATTCTACCTTGCATGGGTCACATTGTTTTGTCCATTAATTATCACTTTTTCGTTCAAAATATCCTAAGCTGACTTAAGCTGTTTACTTGTTCCCAATTCTCCACTCAAAATCAAGCGAGATTGAGATTTTTCTTTAGGGTTACTTGAAAGCAGAAATCCATGAAATGTACGTTCAACTCACCCTGGCGACTCTCACACGTCGCTTCCATGTCTTCCACCTTCAGTAAACGCTCCCTTCCATCTCGCACCATTGAAAAGCTTGTTCCTAATTCTGCACTCAAAATCAAGCTAGATTAAGATATTTCCTTAGGGTTACTTGAAAGCGGAAATCCCGAGAAGAAATGTCCGTTCAACTTACCCTGGCGACTTTCTCACGTCGTTTCCATGTCTTCCACTATCTCCCATCCCGAACCATTTTAAAAATTTAGAAAAGAAAGAACCGTTCCTATTCCTACCTAGGCATCATCGCCTGAAATATCGGAATATTTATTAACTCTTTAGTATTTTATGTGACCTTATGGAGAAAATGAAAGACAGTGAACGCCGAGTCACGTGACGCTTAAGTTCGTGATCACTGCGTGCCGCCCGGACGCGGACCTGTGACGCGAACGTGACGGATAATCAACATCGAATATTTACAGTATCAGTATGAACATCAAAACGACAACAGTTCTTACATCAGCCATGATCTCACCGTACAGTTTAAAGTCAAATCTGCGAAGGTCTATAGTCCGAAGCGTGAGGAGTTAAAGTCAACGAGGTATCGCCGGTTTAACGGCAGGACTTTATTAGGAACGTCAAAGTCAAATCAGTGACGTTCCATGGTCAGTTCAGGCGTGATAGTGTGCCTGCTTCGCAGAGACAGGTTCATTCCTTGAGCAGCAGTAGCTAAATTCCTTAAGGGAAAAGGCAAGATCGATCTTTAACAGCCCAGCCGACCTCGCGGTCTGACTGAATATCATTTGTAACGGTCAAAAGGCGATACGGCTTTGCAAGAAATTAAAAACTGGTACAAAAACACAAATTCTGATTCTTAACTGATCGCCACCTTGAGAAAAAAAGTGCAATATTCTTGACGGCCGTCGATGCACTGTTTTGTTTTGTTTTGTTCTGTTTTGTTTTTTTTTTAATAATTTTAAGATAGGCAACAATTTAAGAATGTGACGTTAACAGAAACGTATTATTAATAATATTAAAATTTAAATTGTTCTAACTAATTATACCATTGAAACGAACAGTGTGGCAAAGATCAGTGTATCTTGTATACTTCAATGCCTTTTATTTCCGTTTAAAACGTGTTAAGTCTCACACTCATCTACAAATGCATCAAATTGTAATTCATTTTGATAATTTAGTGACATCCAAACCTGAAGAAGGCTGGTCTGGCCAGCCGAAACATTGTTTTAAATATACGACGTTGTGTCATCTTTGACTTATCACCGTTTTACTTTTCAAGTTTGGCTGATTAGATCTCCTGTGAGATCCAGCGTTCACGCACTGAGGATCTTCGTTCACGGCTTTGCTATTTAGTTAGTTTGTTATCAAATTGAGAGACTTACTCTTTAGTTGAATGTACAAGACGTGCATACGACCCTACTACACTCTGCAATAATGTATAAGAACATTGTCAGCGTATTTAAATAATAATAATAATATTAATTGGTTTGGGCAAGAACAACCGTACGTACTGCATCATCTGGAGTACTACGTGACGACTCCACTAGTTTTAAAGATGGATAAAAGCGACCTTAGAATGAAATTTGCGTATTCTCAGGAACAAATATAGGAGAATATGATGCGATATTTTTTTTCATAAAAAAGTTCGTGAAAGTGGCGATAAGACGACTGTAAATTAGAATGTTGCTCTACATATATTGAAATAATCTGTGACAGCCAAGACGCTAAAAATGTTTGAATTAAGCATACTTACGTTACCTTGAGTCGTGAGACGTGAAGACTGTCTAAATGGTGACTGAATAAGGTAAAGTGAACGTCTTTGTTTATATTTGGGAATTTCCCGTTCTGTCGTCACCAGTGTATAATTGATAATTTTAAGTGACAGAGAACACGTCAAGCATTCGTCACGGGAAGATACAGAAGTTATCTATATTTATTTCATAGTCACTTAACAGACCCGTGACGGCCTCATGACGGTCGACAAAAACGATCTGTTTGTACTCGAACGTCATGGGTTTAAATTATCAACACCAAATTTGCCTTATGTTTTGCATGTGTCTGTCGAGTTTATGCATGTACTTGGAAAGTTTTGAAGAGAAAGATGGAAACCATGGCATCAGTTTTTCGAGATGTAGATCGGATCACTATGACTGATCGCGACTATTCTTCCCAACAGGGGTCGGTACATTTCGCTGACCCCTAGTCCAGGGACTAATGGACATATGTTTGTGGTTTCACAGGGACGTTACAACCTGCGTGACAGTCGGATTTCACTCCGCAGCATTTTTGACCGTGCATGGATGAACGGTGACCCTAGACTTTGGAACATGGTTTTAGCTGTTGATATTATGAATGCCTGCGCAATGGACAACTTTAAAACTCGTGATAAGACTTAATTGTTTTAATCTATATGTACATTTTATATTTACTATTCTTATTTATCTATTTATTTACTCAATTATTTGTCTGTTTGTTTGTCTGTTTGTTTGTTTGTTTATCTATTTAGTTATTATAAAGATCGGTTAGTGTTTTTATCCAACCTGTCAAGCAATGTCATATTATTCTCCATGTTTAAATCTTTGATGTATTATAATTTTTATGTAATTTTTATGCGCGACTGAGCATCCTTTAAAAGTTTGCGGGTTAAACTTTAATCATTATATTGATTATTGCCCGACGGACCTTGTTTTAGGAGGGTAGTCTCTTTAAGTCGTCCACGGACTAGGTCCGTGATCAGGCTGGTCTCCCGGGGGGAGTCCATCCATTAGGGACTGCTTCATGTTTCTTTGAAACCTTTGAACTGATAAAAGAGAGGACAAACTTCATTTTCCATAAAGTTGGAAAGATTGCATGCGTACATTTAAGTGCTTTAGCGGGTTTTCGCAATTAGGATGTGTGCGAATAACGAAGCACTCATATCAGGCATTTAGTCAAAAAAACGAAACTATGGACTCGGTCGATGTGCGACCCTTGGAAGGCCTACACGACTCCTACGGTTCGTAGTATTTGTGCATTTGCCGTTCCTTTTGGACCTTTGGATTTTCGGTGTCTCAAGCTTCCTTTGCTACACACGTGTTTCTGAATGGCAATTGGATGTTGTGCACTGGGAGGTATTGTAACTGCCGTAATGATTCGATTTAGCACCCTCCTTCCAATAAGCGCCCCCTTTCGAATAAGCGCCCCCCTTCAAATGTGTTTTTATTAATAAGCGCCCCTATTCCAATAAGTGCCCCCATTCTAATATTATTCACTGCTTCAAGGAAAAACAGCCTTGCCATGTAGAGCTAGAACGGTTCAAGATTGCTCAACAAGCCAGTGAGCAATTCACGCGACAAGGATCCTTTCGACGCCATCACCGGGTCGGACGTCGAAGATGCCCCACCAGAAAGCTATTATTTACGTATCGATGTACCGTAAGTGACACTGTCAAAGCTTTTCGCGTCGAAATAGATTAAAATTCCCTCGCCTTAACTGAACATTCGCCGTATATTTTTTACTGTTTCAGTTTCTGTTATTGTTCTTTTTTTAATAAATACCGTATTAAAAGTTTGTTTTAAACATTCGGTTGTTTCTCAAAAAAAAGAAATAAGCGCCCTGTCCCGAATAGACGTCCTGCCTTGGGGTAACAAAAGTATACTATGGTAAGCGTCCCGAGCGTTAAATCGAATCATTACGGTAATCATAAGTCTGCATGGTTTCCGCTGTTTACATCAATGGCGTCCCAAACTCATGCCTTGAGAAAGTGCGTAGTTATTCATGAGAGCGTCACGCGTTATGTAAGTCTGCCGTGACGCGGTGGTAGGCCAAGCTCAATATGTAAGCGTCATAATAGTGACGTACAGTGTAAGAGTTTTTAAAACCCTGGTTAAGTATGCGAAGCGTGGTTAATAGCTAGTTAGTCACGACCTTCGCTGTATAAGAGATTGCATAGAAAATACTACTGCTGTCGCTTTAAATTGTACAAAATTGTCAACAAAAGTTTCCTTTAAACTCGCCCGTGTTGACTTCTTTTCGTTGCTTGTGATTTTACAACCTTAATCCACCGCTAAGAAGCTTTTAGCGCCAAAAATGGATAAACTAACACAAAATCAATTGACTCTTAATACAAAAAAAAATCAAATTTCACCATTTTCAAATCCCACAAAAAACGGTTAAAGAGACAGTTACATGTTCAGTTTAAGTGGCAATGATTTGCAGAGAGTGGAAGAGAGTAACTTCTTCGGAATTGAAATAGATCAACACTTAACATGGAAGAATCATATTGAATACGTCACTAAAAAGATTATAAGAACAACCGGACTTCTTCGTAGAATTTGTTTTTATGTCGATCAATCGCTTTTAATAATGTCATGCAACGGCTTAATACATCTGTACCTGCATTTCGGGAATATTGTTTGGGCTAATAACTATCCGACAAAGTTAGATGAATTGTTTAAACTACTGACAAAAGAAGATATTAAGAATTATAACTTTATCATCATACTCTGCACCATCTCTTTCGCTTTTTACTCGTTTAGGTCTTTTAAATATTTATTTTTCAAATAAATGATTTTGTTATTGGTTCCTTCAGTTTCATTCTTTTTACTCCCATTCTGTTTTATTGACTTTTGTATAGATGCACGAGTCCGTTAACATAATACTAGAGAGTCAAAGCATCTACATAAGATTTTTAGCCGAACCAATTACGGTAAATTCTCTACAAGAAACAAGATAATTGAAAACTGGGATAGAATACCGTTAAATATCAAACATTCATCACCTATAAAAATATTCAATAGGGGATTAAAACAGTTAATCCATTATAGACTAGTTATAGCTCAATAGAAATACAATTAAAATTTATTAATGTAATTACACATATGAGATCTACTGGTTATATTGTAATTTATCCCCGGTAAAATGCTGATTTCACTGATACCTTCTGTATGAATATATGGTTTTTATTTAGAATGTAAGCAACGTAAAGGAAGACTACGTTGCAAAAGCCTGTAGGAGTTTCTTTAGTCTTCCTCCCAAAGCAATTTTGTATGTAGCACTATTCAATGTATACTTTATAATTATGGAAAATAAACATTCAAAAGAATAAGGAATAAGGAAATGTGACGAGTAAAATTTCGCGTGATAATTTACCTGGCAGAGAAACTGCGTTTTCATGTGTTGTGGGCGAGGAGAGTATACTCCCTTCCATGGGCTATAAAGGTATGAGTAGCCCCAAAGGGTATATGGTTTTTGAGCTGTTTATGTCTCAAAAAGTATAGATTTTGACCATATTGGTCTCAAACAGGGTAAATTTTTCACCATGGGCTTGTTTACAAGTAGTCAAGTTATTTTCCCTATCAACACTAGCAACTTTGTAGCCCTTCTAAAATTGTGTTTACCCAGATTGAGCCTTTTCTGGCTAGCAGCGGTCATATATTAGAGCTATTACAACTATGATTTTAGAGGTCTGAAATGGAGTATTCTTCAGTTTTTGGCCCAGGTCCGAAATAGCGAATGAAGAATTGTAGAAGTACAGATTAAATTTTTGGTCTGAAATAGGTTAAGGTTCGAACCGTACAACCCCACCAAAACTTTAGGGAGTACAGCTTGGGGAATTTTCTGTCTGACCATTTTATTTGAGATCAATGCCAAATGATGTATACTGCCATGGAAAAGTCCCCGAGCTTCTTTGGAGAGTTGGTATAGTCGACAGATCAACACCCATCTTTACTCCTAACAAAATTTCGCTAGGTCTTCAGGCCTAGCTGGCATGGTGTTCTTCAGGTTATCACTGACTGTGTACTGACATCTTCTTATGTTATATAAGTAACAGAGCAAAGTACGTTTAAAGCAGTTACAACATTTATAGCAATTAAAGAAATTCCGGCATGTTTAATGTATTACTGTCAGAAAATTATAGCATGCTACAGGACAGCAACGCCTGACTAAACGTAGGCGGAGGTTGTCACAAGTATTTGAAAGTTGAACTTGCCTACAGACTTACGTTGAGTAGGTAAACGGACTTGAAATCACGTTTATTTGCCAGTGTGCAAGCTAGTTGCAATGTCAGGCGGTCGACCTGTAACGAATCAATGACGTGCGATCAACTTGTGTTGGCTGCTCATGGGTGGCCAAAGGGAGAAAATCCTATGTGGACTTGCCTGTAAATATTGATCTCGATCAAAGTGAAGGCAAGTCATTGCAGGCAAGTCATTGCAGGCAAGTCATTGCAGGCAAGTCATTGCAGGCAAGTCATTGCAGGCAAGTCATTGCAGGCAAGTCATTGCAGGCAAGTCATTGCAGGCAAGTCTTTACGTCTACTTACGATTCCGTTTGCCCAAGACTTCAGGTCTTGAGAAAAAGATTAAGAAAAACACTATTTACGTGCAAACTAATTTCACTGCCAGAATCGATAAAGATTGTCAGAACAGGTTCATAGCCACCTTAAATTTTCCAAAAATTTGATTACACTCGCCAAAAACTTAAATCTTAGCTTAACATGCTGATTACAGTTCGATGAAAAACATACGGGCTGTCGGAATCGCACATTAGTCATAAACCAATAAATCTAAAATTAAGGGTGTTGTAAATGGGCTATTCTGTCGCAATAGGAACCTTTTGCGTCACGAAAATGGCCGGCCATTAATGTGGAATGGAATGTGTTGGAGTAACGAGAAGAACAAAAAGAAGACATCGCGTCTTCTATCTACATCCCACGCACTTAAAATCACCTCAAGAATAAAAAAAAGTAAACATATGAAAAAAAAAACT